CAGAGAGTCGCTGATTCGTCACCTCATTGCCATCAAACCCCAAATATGCCACCGGCAACGTCAAATTGGCACTGGGATTGTCTGTAAGAACGAAAATTCTGATTTGATGCATATTTTTTTATTTTATTTGACCCGTCTTCACATCTACTGTGAGAATCCCAGCGCTTCTTAGACTTAATTCGTTTCCTCACATCATCCACGAAGACCTTACAATTTTACGCGTGGATTCAGTTGCTGCCTCATGATTTTCGCTTCATCTTGAATGTCGTAGAATGTTGGTCGAGAGTTCTCCCTGGAATCCTGAGATAGCCGGTCTGGAGCGTTCTCAGTTGGATCGCAGATTTTTTTCCAGACAAGTCCGGCACCAATTTCCCGACCCCAGAGGGATGAGAGGCTTGGTTAGTCCGGTGAGGAATCGAACTAGCGCCGTGCTCGTGATGACGGGCATCACTACCACTGTGCTATCCGCCACTTGATACTTTGATTTGGTGCATGCACATTATGGTATTCATCGTATAGTCCAGATATGCATTCAGTCACCTCTGGGACACCACGAATAGGATCAAATGCATGGTGCATCCCCTACGGATTGATCAACACCGAAAGTTCTCCCAAGTCCGACTTTCTATTAACCTCGCCATTGATTGAATATGTCTTTCTACTTCTGTTCAGCAAACACGAGGTGCTATTTTATTTCTTTATTTACGCACAAGCTGACGTTTCGGCGGATTTCGCTTTCCTCAGAGCCTGGAAGATTCAAGTTGACAGCAATCCGTTCGGCCAATTACCTTCATAACCAAACAGAGAAAACGCTAAACCAAGATTTCAATCACATTTAGCATAGCTCTGCACACTCACCGCTTTCTATGAGTCCTGGTGTTTGGCCGAATGGATTGCTGCCAACTTGACCCTTCCAGGCTCTAAGGAAGGCGAAATCCGCCGAAACGTCAGCTTGTGCGTAAATAAAGAAATAAAATAGCATCGAAAGTTCTATTCTCTATTCTTGTTTTTAAAGAGTTTGTAGATAATTCCGTGCTGTTTGTTGAGGTAGCAACTATAAATGAATCCATACTTTTCCTTAGCTCATTCATATTTAGTTTCCTTCCCTTGTGAAACTCTCTTCGCTAGACGGATTTAATTTTTAATGTCAACAAGTTTTTAATAGAATAAACGAATTCAGTTCTGGTTTTAGGACTAGTCTGTTGCCAATTTAGCCGTCTGAATTGATGCGTAATTGATTTCAGCTCTGTTTTTATGGTTTGTTTTCGATTGAAGCCATCCACGTTTGAACAAATATAGTGAAAATTACATCGACAGAAGATAATATAGACTCAATGTTGACGAATTTTAAGAGGAAGCGTGACAAAATAGCCTTCGCGCTCCTACAGGAACTAAATTTTCTTCCCGACAGCAAGTAATGTTAAGAAATTTTAGCACATAGGCAGAGGAATTGTGTAAGCGATTCTATAACAAGTAAGTTGTAATTTTATCCCTAATTGTGGCCCATAAATCTTCTGAAGTGAATTATACCGAAGGAAACAAAAATGAAAAAGGAGGAAGAAAACATCGAGTAAACCAGAAGCCATCCCGAAAGCGATCGCGCTGATTTTTCGACCAGTCCAAGTAATTTTCTGATTGCTAAACACATGGCATTGAGAGGTTGATGAACCCACATTTTCATGGAGGTGTTTCCCATATAAATCTAAGGTTTTGTTTGACGAAGTCCCGTTTGCTCAACTGCTTACCAGTTCGAAATAAGGGCCACGACAAAAAAAGCGAAAAAAAGCTATTAGGCTCGAAAAAGTAGAATATTACCTTTGCTGGAAAACGAAGCTTGCATTTTCTTAGTGGTAATCTGTAAATTACTATAGTTTTTTGTCCTCGCATTAATGAATAATGGATCCAATAATAACAAGCTGAAATATGCTGGCTTACTGAAACATTTTCGGAAATTCGCGAGTCACGTGTGACTCATACCGTCTGCGGTGTATCCAACTGTTGTCATAGATGGCAGAATGGTACTGATCTAGTTCGAAAATCATGTCCAGGGCCCATCTCATAGAGCATAGTGGGTAAAGGAGACCACAGTGTGGAGGGTTCGGCTCTAGGCGTGCAGCTCACTCATAACTGGACCAAAACCAACAACAACGCCGACAATGCATAGTAATGGTGGCTATTCAGATATTGGATCGTTTTTGAGCTCCGTCGACGAGGCAACAACGTTCATTTTAGTCAGTCGACCAGCCGGCCACTGAGCCTTCCAGTAGAACGAACATGCTTCACCTTGTCGTTCTTCTCTTCACAGGCAAGGACCATTTCATTTCTTAATAGAACAACGACAACGTTAACCTTTTATTTACTGCCTCCAATAATTTTTCACGGCAGGGTATTATGAACCGCAATGATGCTGAGATACCTGCTAAACTCCGAACAACAGATGTTTGCGGTGGTGATCTAGCTAGTACTCTTTCCGGGAGCTAACGCAATTACCACCACGCCATGAGGGTCCTTCATTTCGCGTTTCTTTCAACTAGTTTTCTACTCAACGCGGATAACTGCAGATTGCACTGTTAGGTAAAAACCTAGCTGATAGAAAAGCGAAATGAAAGACCCGTGGTGGTGAACGCATTAGCCCCTGAAAGGGCAATAGCGAGTTCGATTCCCATAGGATACATCTGCGGTTACCACTTTTGCAAATATCTCAAACAACGGCAATCCGCATTAATATGAAAAGTGTAATGAATAGCAACTGCTATGAAAGAAGAGAATGACATTGCACTGCAGTGGCTCAAATACGAGCACAATGAAACTAGCTGAAATCCCACCCATGAGACCTAACCATATCTGCTCCTGTGCTGCTAATTTTTTATGCAGTTTATATCTAATGGTTTGTCGACTATGAACATGCATAAACACAAAAACTGTGATTAAAAAGCGAAAAAACCACAAACACTAGGAAAGAAGCTTAGGTACGGTACTCCAAACCTTTCGATTTTTCCTCATGACCTGAGTGTTTTTAAAATCTGAATATTTTCATCTAAGAATCTGTACTGCTTCAATACTTTTTATTTCCAATTCGTTTTAAAGCAAAAACGAACCCGACATTTTCGGATATGTTTCAGTTGGTTCAACTTCAGAGGTCATCCGTCCATCAATTCAAGGTAAATCGAAATTTCAAAACATTCTAACTTAAATTCAGTGGAAACATTCTTTTTTCTACTGTAACAACTTAACACAGTTACTTCCCAGGGAAATAATCTTGCTGTCTGTTTTCTCATTCAGAAAACTCATCCACGAAATCGACGCTCGCTTTCTCAATAAGGAATAGAACAACATCATTAGTGCCGTTACCAAGGGGAGGTATTGTTTACCATTATACTTGTCAACAACGACCGATTTGCTACTCTACTGAGTCGGAGTTCTTCATTCCTTGTCCTTGTTGAAACCAGTACGACCATTTCATTTGAATTACGAACCTGTAAGTACCCAGTTAGATCGCGTGTGGAGCAGTGGTTGGAGGCGCGGAATCGATCCCTGCGTCCACGGCCCACCAAGCCTTTCAACCTCCCGAAGTCGGCAAATTGGTACCAGGCTTGTGTGGGAGGATAGCAGCACTGGCTCGATACATCTGTAGCCTACCGCTAGTCGTTGTATAGCCAGATATGCATTCAATCACCTCCAAACGATGCTTAATTAGGTCGAATGCAAGGCGCATCCCTAAGGGATTGATCAGCGAACTTTATCCTTTATGATGACAACAGTCTAATCATGCTACCAAAATTTTTTCCTTTATTAAGGATCCTTGAAGGTATTTTGATAAATCTATGCTAATTCTCCCATAAGTAACTGTTTTTAATCCTAGCAAAGCTACGTAATCATTTTTCTACACGTTATCGTCCCAGTTAAAAATTCCTGCTCTGATACTGAAAGATCATATTGTTAAATCCTATGAGATTTTTCCACAGTTTTCAAGTTGTCTTCAGGATCATAGCGATTGACAGCAAAATTGATTCTCAGCTTTTTTTTAGAAAATGCAATATTTCTCTTTAAAGGGTTAGTCACCACTTTAAAGCCGCGAAAATGCGGAAACATTGGCGACACCGAGTACTGCCATTACGAGAACGACACCGAAATATGCGGTCAGTGATTCTGCTTCGAATGAGTACCCTACATACTATACGAAGTACGAGTACTTCGAATACCTATAATGTAACGTTTTGAATTTCAGTTACTAGCCATTGTTTCTTCATGGCAGGGTACGATGCGATTTATAACCACAAGGTTACTAAGAAATGGACCTCAGTGGGACTTCCAAGTAGAGATAACGATCGCCGGTGGCTCAATGTTATCCACTGCCCTGACAAAACCCTTGCTTTTCCTTTCTCTCTGTCAATTTTTCTTACTCTGTCTGCACTGCTAGTAAGGAATTACCTGTTAACGGGATCGATACGGCAAGCACAGATCGGCATTGGGCCCAGTTATGCCGTGGTAGATGGGACGCGTGCCCAGTTAAGGTAGCCCTGGTCTCGAAGTCAAACTGACGTTCTAAGTTTTGTCCGTATCTCAGCATCCTTCTGATAATATACTTACATACCTACTTACTTGAACAGCCTGTCTTTTCCGTTGGCAGTGCGGACCCCAGCATATCTTCCTTTCGTTACTTTGCCTGACAGCCGTCGTCCATGGTGGTGGTTTGATCCAAACATAGTGGCGGATACGAGTCGCATATCGTGATTTATAAAACAACTGCTGCAGCTGCAACTGTGTTGATGTAAAAGTTTTTATAGAAAGAGATATGAATGAAAATTTAAACGCTGAAAAAGCCAATCTATTCTAGTTGGGATTCTTCCCGTAAAGATTTTTACCACTGAAAAGAATACGTCAGCGGCCATCAGATGATTTTATTTCACTAGATGATTGAGTTAACTATGCATTTTCAGACATTTGTGTGGGTGTGATTTGTCCTCAGGGGAAGAAATGCGTGAAGAAGGACCACGTTTGCGAGCCGTCCTGCATCTGTATCAACGACGTCGACATCGAGATCGAGAACGGCACATGCAGAAGTAGGTCTCTACAAACACAAGCCATCTCATCGCACTTAAATCGATCCCATCGTAGACCACGTATGACATATTCTGTAGTTTTTTCCTTCTGTTGTTTTTTTAAAAAATGCACATTATGCGTCTTTGTTGCCTCGGCTAGTTTGTCCAAAATTCAAATGACGACTGCCGTTCAGCATCGACATTAAGATGAGATGGTGAACGTCGTCCCAGTGGTGTCAGATCGTTCCATAGACCGTGTCGGTTGAACCTCATCGCACTTGGGGCAGATCCTTCGTGATTTCAGATCCTTGTGAGTTATTTAAATGCGAGAATAATGGTGAATGCATACCGGACGTGACTCGTCCGTCCAAATTCCGATGCAAATGCAGCAAAGAATACGAAGGCGAACTCTGCGAAAAATGTACGCGAGTTTTTTCTTTCAGGGACAATTTTCGCTTATCCTTTTCCTCATTTACTTTTTATTGTCTGCTTTTTCTCTTACTCTCTACTAGGCAACTATGAATGCGAAAAATTACACGTATTTGGAGGAGATATCAGCGAGAAATGTTAACTGGAAAGAAGTGTAGATGCCTTAGCACAGTAGGAACTATTGTAGAAAATATAAAATACAGTAGGAAAAGATCATACTTAACGTGAAACCATCTCGTAACAAACTGGCTCTGATTGCTAACCAAACTACTTTTAAAAGCCTCGGCATAACCCAGGAGCTACTTCTTGTTAATCTCGGCATTGATCAATAATTCTCTGTTTGTCTTCACAGGCAGACACGAGGTTATTACTGAAGTATTTATTCAGAATGGCTAATTTTTCAGCGGTTTCATTTTCTTTAGAGGTTGGGAAGGTCAAAGTGATACGCAACTGACTCAGTTAAAGGCTTTCATAACCTCAGCAAATAATACTTATTATTACAGTCATAGGAATGGTAAGATATGAGCAAAAATCGGAACCTCAGTTGGGCTTCGAGCCTGTGGCTAACCTTTCCGCAGACTCATGTGCCACCACACCAACCGAGGCCCTTGTTTTGCCTTCCTCTGAGCCATGTTTTTACTCCATCGATGGCATCAACAATAAATCTTTTGTTCACATCTCAGCATCTTTGTGATTGTACCCACCATTTTATGCTTTACAAGTCTTCCAGTTATTGCAAGAGATCAACCGCACAGAGTTATGTTTGTCTGAGTCGATTGCGTGTCAGTTTGATCCTTGCAAGCTCTGAATAAGGCTACTGGTCAAAACCAAATGTTGGCTATAGTAAATAGGTAACAACAACTTCTGCCCATCAATGGAGGTAGTCTTGGCATACTTACGACATACAAAATACACCATTATTCATGAACTGTCACTGTAAATTAAAAGGGGTAGAAGTGATCGTTATTTCATGTGACCGTAATCTTTAAGAAGTCCGTCCACTTTAACACACAGTCAACGAATTTTCCAATGAAGTGGAGCCATCTGTTCATTAGCGTTTCAGATCACAATTCCTGCCTCGATCCGCAACCGTCGTTCTGCCCACTAGGACAGTACAAGTGCAAAATGCATGGTTTCCGAAACTACACATGTGAATGTCCCAAGGGATTCTTCTACAACGCCACCTCTAATACCTGCGTAAAAGGTAAACTACAATGGTTATGACATTCATAGCATAATGATTATAACATTATATATATATATATGTATATATAAATACAATATCACGCGTGTGGCGCACCAACTAGATGTGTCTTGTGACGCACATCGTCTTTGGATCGATTCAGCGTCCCGGAAAAATAAACCACTCTTTTCTCTGGATTCGGCAAATCGCTATTAGACTAATTTTAAGGGATGTTGGAAGGTCCGAAACATCGTCTTCATATATCGGTAGACCCTAGAGAACCATTTACGGGCTCAAATTGCAATTCGTATGGGTATCTTTTGTGGCAACACCCTTGATGTTTCGCCTTCGAGATGGCTGGGAAATCCTTGTTCGCTCACCTGCTTCTCGCATGATATCTGCATTACCCACTTAGGAGAGTTTTCATTGCTGCTAAAATATTTGGCCTGTCTGGTTTCGCAGTGTACAGATTTGTAAGCCATAAAAGGAACCGCGCACTCGGCAAGATGGACACAGATATAGGTATTATATCAAGTAGATCTCGCTGAGAAAGACTCCCGCCAACAGACACGTGGAATCGGCCCCGCCCCATGGCCCTACGAAGCCTTCCATCATTCCGAGGTCAACTCCGAGAGCTTCACCCTTTTTATCCCTTATCAACTAGATATTTGACCAGTATACGCCAATCTATATTTCCCAATGTGAAGTTCTTCACATGTCCTTCGGTGGCTCATATTAAGCTTGAAATCACCTATGTGACTATAGTAGGATAGCGTACCTGAAAACTAGACAGACTCAAGAATAGAACTGAAGAATAGTTTGTCCAGTCCTTATAGTCTCCGGTTGTTAGAGCTCGCCTATATTCACTTCCTTTGTAGTTCCTATTCACTTGATTGCCGACTATCCGAGGAATTGGTGTGAAAAATAAGGTCATAGACTCAGAAAATTAGGGCAAGGTCAAAAAATTTTGTATTCCCAAGCATACCTTTGGCGTGTAGACGTATATCTACGTCTGTGGAGAAAGTATAAGATAGTTTGGTGCAAAGGACAGACACACTTCAGTTTGGTGCAAAGGGCAGTCACACTTCATTAAGTGAGCTCACCTAAGCCTCAGAAGATGTACAAGGTCATTTTTCCAATCATCTAACTTTGATACTAGCCATTTGGAGCTTGTGAACTTTGTGGATAAATAGATAGTATAATTAAAGAAATTATTATACTGACAATGATAAAAAAGTAAGGCTCTCAGCGTTGATCAATCCCAGAGGGATGCGTAATGCATTCGACTTTATCAAGCATCGTTAGAAGTGAATGGATGCATATCTGGTCCGTGCAATGACTCGCCGTAGTCTATCGATGTATTGAGCCAGTGCTGCTATCCCCCCAGACAGCTCTGGTACCAACTTGCCGACCTTTGAGAGGTGGAAGGCCTGGTGAAACTGGGGCGCAGGGTCGAGCCCGTGTGTATTGCAGGGCACCCTCTCACCACTGTGTCGTATGAGCCCATTCTAACAATGATAGTAATATTAATTAATATCTTAAAGATACTTTAGTCGGGCAACATGCGAACATCACGCTATACTTCAAAGAAACACCGTATTCGGAAATCTACAACAATATTTCATACAAGGAGGCTGTATTGGCAAGAAAAGTGATTCACTCTGCGGTGAGTTAAATTGGTTCCAAAGAGGAAAAATCAGATGAGATTTGAAGTCGTAAAGAAAACGAAGACCCAAATATGTTGAGTAACAGAGCTCGCCATTTACTAGTTTTATCATGGAAATGTCAAAGAATAAACTGGACAGTGAATGAATAGGTAATGACTGTGAGAGTGAAGGACTTGTTTCTCCCGGAAGCAACCAGAATAAAGTGCTAAGCGAATCAGAATGGCTCTCTTCAGTTGGTGATTTGCCAAAAGAGGTGTAAAAGTAGCTTGACGGAAGAATGAACAAAGATGAATACGATGACAGTAAGAAAAATGACAAGAAAAGGAGGTGCTATTCAATAGAAGGGATGGAATCATGGACGAATTGGAGGCTGCATTTATTTAAAACCAACACCTAGAAGTTATACCACTACAGGATTGTCGAGATACGAGCAAATCTCAAAATAATTTCAGGTGGGCTTTGAAGAATAAAGGAAAAATAGGAAATAAATAAATGCTAAAACATTACGCCATTATGTTTACACCTTTTATGTCCCGAGGACCTAGTGTGGTAACAAAGCCTAAGGAAGTCCTAAGCTGGGTTCGATCGTTCTCAATTATTAAGCAATAAAAACTATTAATATTTCAAAGTCGACCTCACTGAAAAGCCAAATAAATACAAGGTTGACAAAAACCTTTATTAAGCTAACATTTGCCCACATTCGCCTTTTTTAGAACCGGATTCGTCCAGGTCGATTGCCACAATTGCTCCTTCTTCCAGTGCGGGTCTTCGTGATCGTATCGAATCGAATGCAATGAAGCACTCCAGTGCAATCACGAAGACCCACAATGGAAGAAGGAACGACTGTGGATAATCGACACGGATGACTTCGTCTCCGAAGAATGCGAAGGCGCCAAAACGTTAGCACATCAAAGTTTCTTCATTAACCTCGTGCTAGCTTATTAATGAAAGAACTTATTGAACTTGTAGCAAAAAAATTATTTGTAGTGGTGGCGTTTTCTTAGTTCACCATACACCGTTGAAATTAAACGCTTAAGAAGTAATTCGGTTCGGTACACTGATTTGTTGTTAGATCCATTGCTTTTTTCTTCGTCTAGAAAATTACAATCTTTTAAAAAATGTACCTCCAGAAAACATGAAAAGAAAACTAGACAAAACAGAAAATTAGAGCTAGCTGAGAGACAGGCGAAACGAAGGACCTACATGGTGTGGTGGTGAACGCGTTAACCCTCGGAAAGGATAATAGCGCGTTCGTTTCCCACCGCAGACCCCTGCGGTCCGGAGTTTTGCAAATATCTCAGCATCATTGATATATTTCGCAATATACTCTGCCGTTAAAAAGGGTAGGCAGTAAATAATAAGTTAGGATTAAAAAGTTAACATTGTAAGAAGAAAAGTTGATCTAGTAAACCACTTACGTAGTGATGTACTGCTACATTGGTATTTCACATGAATCCATTAGTATCAAGGATGAAAGTCCTTATATGGCTTGAATTGCGCCAAAGCAGGTGATCACTAACGACTTATTGCACTGTGCTTCAAAATTACCTTGTATGAATACATGAGTAAAAAACTTTATCTAAGCGCAGCTTTATCTTCTCGGCAGTATTTTTGTTTACGATACGTCCAAGTTTACCGTTTCAGTAGAAGTCGTCTAACTAAACTATTAGTATTAGATAGTTTAGCTCGAGCTTTTATATGGGAATCACATGGTAAAGCTGATTTTCGGCAATTTCACTGAAGGATCACTGGTCGCACATCTGCAGCTGATGCTCAAACTCGACAGCACAGGAGAGTTCCGCGCAAATGAACGTATTTTCAAGGTGAGCTCTTCTTTTATACATTTAGATTCCTGACGCAGGTGGTGTAGTGGCTAGAGGTACCCTGCAATGCGCAAATGGTCCTTAGTTTGACCCGTACCCCGGTTTCACGAAGCCTTCCGTTCCTCCAAATAATACCTAGCCAATCTGGAAGGATAACAACACTCATTTGGTAGAACACTAGGTCATCGCTAGTCATTGAATTGACCAGATATGCCTTCGCCAGCTTTTAATAATTCTTAATTAAGTCAAATGCATGTTGCATTTTTCAAGGATTGGTCAAGATCGAAGACCTTATCCATTATGCTATATTTCGTGTATATATCTTTATTTATTCACTTATTTATGACATTTCAGCAGTTTCTCTTGGACTGCGACACACAAAGTCTACCTTGCTTCGGAACACTCGGAAAGGCATACCTT